TGATTGAGCTAAAAGTAGAACTAACACTAGACCTAGAACTAGAAAAGTCTCTTAAGACGGTTATACCCGAATGTTTCTAGTTTTAGTTGTTTTTCAGTGCTAGATTATTCAATATTTTTACCCGATTAAAGAAAAACAAAAACTTGTTTTAAATAATTTAATAAAATTTGCACTAAATTGTAGAGTTAGTAGAGTGAAGCTAATGCTGTTAGCTGATGACGCTTTCTACGTCGACAAATGTGTTGTGTTAAGTAACTTTCCGATGTCAGCATGTGGGGAGGGCTGTCGCGGAACCCACCGACCAGCGACTAATTAATAATACATCAATCATACACAGGAATAATGCTTTTATTATCAATTAGACGTGCACATCGCCAGTGCGTGGTCCGTGATGATCGGATAATTAAGTATTCGATCATTCGAAAGTTTATAGAATTAACTTCTCTGATCAAAAGAGCCTTATTGTTCTATGAACTGGGGAATTGTACCTAATGACGGTTTTCCAATGGGTTACGTAAAATATTAATGTATGTAATAGACGGTGGAGTTGAAATAAAAAAAAACCTAGATGGTTTTAAAGTATCCTTTAATAAAACGTAACACAATATAATTCATTAAAAAAAATACACTTTTAATTTAAAATTAACACTTTTATTTTATTATTTTCATCAAAAAAGAACTAAAAATGTAATCATTGTAAGCACGACAACAATACATCCTAAAAGAAACGTACTCAATTTTTGTTGCTTCTCAATTCGTACTTGTGTTTCAAAGATAGGTTGAACGTCAATACTTGAGTACCTATTTCTGTCTTCATATATCTTCGGAATTGGAGATTTGTTAAGTTCCGCCGCAAACTTTACACATTCTTTTTTATAATCTTCACTGTTCAATAATAACTCTTGAGCTTCGATTACTTCAATTTTACTTTGAGGTGGTGTCTTTTTACGAAAAGCATCCATTTTTGGACATAAAAATATTGTTCTTACTGTGATTTCTTAATAACTTATGATGGTCCGGTTCGATTTTGAAGACCGTTTATACATTCCACGAGGTTATGCTTGTTTACGTAAACTAATGGGTCAATAAAATTACCGACTACGTCGCGATAATTGCAAATGCATTAAGCAAGATCAACAGCCTAATTGTTCTTGATTAGTTTGTCCTGTAAATGGGTCAATTCATAATGTTTGTTAAATTTTTTTGAGTTATTATACGTTAAATATTTGTGTCGTATTAAATCGTTTTTTTTTAAATATATTGTGCCTTACTAGAAATTATACTTAAGAAATTACCAATATTAAATATACTGGTAATGCTAATTAAGTTATTCACATTAAAAGTAACTACGTGACTGGTCATACGTTTACTTGTATATTGTAGCAACTCGCAAAGTGTTTACGAGCATGTGTTAACTTCGTTTATTGTATGATGCAATCTTGAAATACACTCAATAACTAATAAATATAAACGAACTAAACTGTGGAGAGATAATTTAAAATGTTTAAACTTTAAAGATCTAACAACAATTTTAATAATAAAATAATTTTTAAATTCTGTTTAATGCATTTTATTCTTAACACCCCAAGTATATTTAAATAGGGTTCGCAAAAAGCAGATGTGAGCCGCGACAGGAGGAACGAATTAACCAATAATATGTTTCGTCCTTTTCCAACAACCATCGAAGAACATTCTATCCCGCTCGACCGATAAGTCGAGGTTTCGAGTGGATTCGCTGCGTGACCCTCAACAATAGCAGCCAGATTTGGCGCATAGTTCTTTCATTATGCTCGCTGTTTTTTTCCTTTCTACTCTCTTTGTTTCATTCCCCTTTCCCCAAACGACATCGAAAGGCCCCTTGTTCTAATCATTAACGTCGTTCCCCCGGTCAATGGCAGTATAATTAATACTGCGCTCTGTTTTACAGCTGTCGGTGGGTCGATGGGTTTTAACGAACCTACGGGATCCCCCTTTTGTTTTTTTTTCTTGTATTGGTCACATACGGTATTCGTACATGAAAGATTTGTTCATTAAAAATTTGATGAAAATAAAAATTCCCAAAGTAGCGAGAATTTTGCTCAAACTTTTTTGTTTACTCCGTAATAATAATTTAGTTAACGGAAATTTTATATTTATAATTAGGTACTTCCTTTGAAACACACCATCATTATTATAATCAAACACAATTCTTTGTATCTCGGATAGAAATCAGTTAATTTATGGGTTCGAGTTGAGGCAAATAGATATTTACTTCTCGAGCTATGCCCCCAGCAGTTTAACAGAAGAAACTGATACTTAAGTCATTAACGGTGTAAATAATTGGGTATAATCATTCTAGTACCGATTTCGACTAGTATTAATTCAAATGAGCGTAGATGCCGCTTTACACGTAAAAGTATTGCAGTAAGAAGTAACAATCCGTGACAACCCTACCATATTAAGCTAAATTTATTGACGTACGATTGTAGCAGTTATTAATTCGATAAATTTTATTGGCTCGATGCGTACGTGTACCTCTCTTACTTTGCAGGATGTTTACATGCAAGAAATGATTTGTTCGTATAGTGCATTGGAAACCTGTTTATTAGCAACCGCTATGTATTGAACAAAATGTACATAATTCATTATATTCGTAAAAAGGTCTAAAATGTTTTAATAGCATTCAACTTTTAATATTGATGGAGATTCAAGTAATAAATATAAAACAAATACTATCACATTCTTTTCTAACATTTTACAAACACTTGTCGACAAAATGTTGGGGTAACGAATTTAATTAACAATGAAAGTACTAGAGATGTATTCACCGAATTCAATGAAGCGGAGATCTAGTTGTGACCCAAAATGAAGGGTGATGTATTTTTTGCAGGTGTGGTAAAAGCTCTTTTTATTAGCATATCGCATACATGACGTTTAGTGGTGTTGGAAATTAGATTACTTTTGGGGTAGAAAATTGTATTTTTGCGTATATTTCTGGTCTCTCTTTAATATATCCAATTACAAACCCAGCATATTTAAACACATTGGTAACCTGAAGTAAAAATTTAAATGAAAATATAAGTTAAGGTTACAACCTTTACAACACCAGGCGGTCAAAAGTTAAGTGGTGAAATGTCGATCATTTACATCACACGCGGTAATAGGTCCCATAAATGCTGATTCTAAAATTAAAATGAATACAAGATATTTTTATAGCATTAATTTCAAGATGTGCGAAAGACAAGTTAAGATCTTTCAAAGTTAAGTCAGTTACATTAAAGATAAAACATTCCCAGTTTTGGAATCTGAATATAAGCGAAAGTTGAGTAAGAAAAAGAGTTGTTAAAGGTTTCTCATGCCTAGGATGAGCGAAATGAAGAGTAAATAGTATAGCTACAAATAATCTGAAGTTGTGTGGAGAAACAATATGAGCTTCAAACAGTGTGCATTCGAACAGTTTCTAGTCCTTTACTATTAGTTATTAAACTTTTACAGTGAGGATTATTTCTCCTACAAGCACCATCTGGTCTTCTGCAAGCTGTGTTTATTCTCTCATAAACAATATCCAGTCCTCTAGAAGCAGCCTATCTGCAAGCAGTATATAATTTACTGCAAGCAGTATTAGGTTTTCTGCAACTTGTATCCTTTGCAAATAATGTTTAATTTATTACAAGCATTATCTAGTCGTTTGAAATGAGAATCTACTGTTTTACAAGCAGTATAAAGTGTTATTGAAGTAATATGAACTTAAACCAATTTGTAGTCTTCTTCAAGTAGTATCTATTCCCTTATTAGCAGTTTCCACTCTTCTACAATAAGAATTCTTTGTTCTACAAGCAATGTCTAGTCTTCTGCAAGCGGTTTTAGTCTTTCTTAAGCAGTATATAGTCTTCTACAATCAGTATCTAGTCTAATACTAGCAATATCAGGAGAAATTTTGTTGTTAATTGCTGCATCCTCTAAAGAAATGCGGAGCAGCAACGGAGGAAGAGAAGGATTTTGGTTGGTTAGGCATCCTTCAAGAAAGGGACTTAACCTAAATTTATTCGAAATCGGTTAGACGCTTTTGCAACGCCTTATCTTCTCCAATATACTTTGACTCGTTCACTTTCGTTAGAATTGTCGGAATTGCAAAATTCAAGTATGAGTTACAAAGAGTATGATTAAGTGCCCCTTAGTTATTATATGTATAGGGGAATATCGTTCAACTTGCATATCTCAAACGTTTTGACAACAATGTTGATTAGAGACATATTAACAGATATACTTTAAAAAATATCCCTTATAGAATACAAAATTCTAAATCATATTTAATGAAAGCGATTATCGTTAATAGTACATATCCATAAACAGGCTGATAAAATATGTGTTTTCATTGGGGATATTGATACCAAATTAATAAAACTGAAATCGCGTAATCAATTCATTATAATTACAATAATTTTTGTGGTTAACAACACAATTGCAGGTAATAGCTAATAACACAAAAACTACAATATGTGTGTCAAGCGTAAAGCTTTGTGTTGATATATTTTACGAGGGTGGTCGAAACGGTCACGTCGTTGAAATATTTGCGCATTTCGTTTAATTATATATATAAAACTGTCAAAACATCAACGGTGATTATTTGAAGTCGCGGGTTCGGCAGCCAAATTAAAATGTTTCAATAAATGCCTATCAGTAATGTGCATTAACAGTCGCCCCCTATTTGTGTGTTGTGGTGCTCAAATTAAAGTAAATGCATTTCGACTGTAGCCGCGATATCATTCACGTCGGCCAAACCTCAAAATTCAACGATAGATTGACTTTTACACCCAGTGGGGTTCACCGTAAGAATTGCTGCGCGATCGATTTCTATTTAATCCGATAAATATGAATAAGCAAGCGAACTACGTTCGTTTCGTTTCGGTCTTTCTGTGCTGATTGAGGATTCGCAAACGACGATGGCTGGCGACGACGAAGATTACCATGATTATTTACTTCAAGCATGAAGCTAATTAAGTTGTTTGTAAAATTTACAGACGAATCAGGATGCGAGGCTGACATGGCAGAAGGCGGTGCCGAAGAGGAGAGTGGTGACATGCTGGGGCCAGCGACAGCGCCAATCCACCAATCTCCATCTGCTCTCAACGTGAAGGCAGAGGTAAGTTCTTGAGCTTAATCCATGTTACATCCATGATTCCCACTTGCCTAATTAATTTGTCTCTAAGTTAGATGATTTATTTAAGTAGCAGAGAAAATTAATTTAATGAATATTATAAGAGAATATTAATACTCTTTGAAAGATTTCAACGATGCGTTGGAACACAAAATATTTTATTCAGATAAAAAAGGTATTTGTTTTAGTGAATGTATTAATAATAATTTATTTAGTGATTTGACACTATCTCTCACAAAACATGCTATTTAGTAAAGAATAGTATTTATATATACTAGAAACGAAAAAAGAGTTGTATTTCAATATAGAGAAAAAAGAAGTAAGATATACTTCCGTGGTAATAACCGTAAATTCTTATGATTGCAATACTAGCTGAAATTGTACGAAACTCAAAACGCTATCGTCGCCCCTATGGCGGACATAACGACGTGTAATCCGTTTTTAAATGTTGATTTACCGCGTACCGATATGCAACCGGCTCGAAAAAACGGCAGTACCAAGTGCGAAAAAAATATGCGGCAATATTGCAGGTCGACGCCGAGGTTCGATTGGATAACCGAAATGAAAACCGTAAAAATTTGCGTTTGCGTGTGTGCATTTAACCATTTATTAAAAAGCGGCGAGGCCATGGCGCAGGCCGCGTTTGCGAAAAAAAAGCGAGGTGTCCGACAGAGCGCGCGCGCGCAAAAATAAATCTTCGCATTAATTATCGTGAATATTGGCAATTAGCGCGGCAATGTTTTTAATTTTCGGCCCACGGGTCCAGATTGCAATTTCGGTACTGGCGAATCGTCGATAGTACAGACGTATGATGTAACGTACGTATCAATTTTATTGCGCTATCTCGTAATTTATCGCTCATTTTTCGGGCGCCGCGCCGTCGTTGTTCATAAAACGCGACGCGACTTCGCAGAACGGGGGATGCACCGCGACTCGTTGGAATTTTATTCCTCGCATTTAATATTATAATTAAATGGCCAGCGTGCCCGGTTCGGCAATTTTTGTTAATATTAATGTCGTCATTTGTATTTTTATCTGCCACAGTGGTCTGGTAATTACAATAAATCGTACATACGCTATACATTTGACATTTCGAAATCGAACGATTTTGCAGGAATCAAAAATGATTGCCCGTTAAAATACCTATTATTGGTTACAAGAATTTTTGTATAATCGGTTAAAATGCGCTTCTATTTTGGAGCGATTATGATATAAACCGGAGAGATTATTTTTTTAATTGATAAGCTTTATTACTAAATTGTATCAATAATATTGTTTGTTTTGGAATAACATTATCTCTAATTCCTAGTAATCACGCAGTTGTTTTGAAAACATTGTAAAAAAATATATTTATATTGGAATAATTTAATATCACCATTTATTTAAATATTATTTAAGTTAATTACGAATTATGACAATCTAAAGTTTAACATTATCAAGCAATTTCAGTAAAATATAAAGTCGGCTATAATTTACCTTAATGTAGACAAGTTAGGGCAAATAGCGCTAGCATCTCCGGGTATCAAAGTTGTTTTAGGGGCAAGGGGTGAGCTATAAATTCAACCCCCGACCCCGTTCGCCCTCCGTCGGCCAATTTTGCGGACGAACGCCGCCACTGGCCAGAGGAGAACCCACCGAACTTATCGCCATCTATATCCTTCGTCCGTCTCACAGCGTTTCCTTAAATATCAGCCTAATCTACTGCCTTGCCGCCGCCGGATTTGTCCCTGTCTTCCTAATATTGAATTTCGGAGGGTCGCACGAATAAGTAGCGATCGGGATGATGATGTTGCTCTTTGGGTTGAGGTCGCGGGGCGCACGGGGGCTGCTTTATTTGCGGGGAACAAAGCCCCGAGCGGTTTCTATTGGAATCTCGGCCTTAATTAGGTGAAAAGGAAGTTTCATTTAAGTAATTCCCCCCAGATCTCATTGAGACACGGTAATTTATGCGTTCGCACGTCCCGCAGGAGGAAATGGGAAACTTTGGAAGGGTAAAATGATGGTCGAACTTGAATTAAAACCTTCAAAACTTGTCAACGATTTATAACTTAATTAACCCGATTAAAGCGCACACGTTTATTTTAAAAAAGTTTTCAAACAATTTTTCGAATGATTAACGATTTTGATTTAATCGCAATATAAAATGCAAATTGCGACTACATGTGAAGTCTTGTTCAGTGCAGTTCGGAATCCGATCAAATATGCGCTCCGCAAGTTTACTGTGGGGCCGGCACAAACAGCATTAACATGCGTCAAATATATCCACTTACTGGCTAGCCGCGGCCTGTTCGTGGATTACAGTATAAATATCTCATTAAGTTCGCCCAGGCCAGGGCATTAAACAGTGAATCTCAACGCGCGGGACCCTGTGGCTACCGTTACATGTTTATTTGGCTTGTCCGCTTGCCCCGACAGCGGCCCTAGAGATGGATGTTGGGCCTTCAGTGCCCCTGGGGGACCACCCGGTGCCGTGCTAGTTGTAATTTCACGGTACCTGCCCGCCATAGAACCACTGTAGACGCCTCTGTAAACTTGCGCTCAACCACCCTTCTTATTTCTTGTTGGAATTCTCTCAAGCTAAGCTGACAGAAGGGTTAACTAAATTTAGTTTAAGTGGTCAGAATAATACAGAACATTTTATTAACATTTCATTTATTTATTTTTATTTTCACGGACTCAATGGATTCGTTTTAGATATCCGGTTTCGTGTAGTTTTAAATCACGGGTGATGAATTAACCTCTAAGCATTGGTCGTATTGGGCAAAAGCAAACAAAGCTCTCCTGGAATCTAAACTGACTTCGTGTCCGTTCTGCGGAGCCATAATGTTGATTAATTCCTCAATTTCGCGCGGTTCCCGTATAATTTACGGCGCATATTGACGACGCGGCGCGCGGTGGTGTTTCCCGTTTTTGTCACTCTGATTCAGTTTCCTATTATGCAGTTGACAGCACAAATGCACCCATACATTACGGGGGTTGGACCCCCGGCGCCCTCGGTTGGTACACTTTTTCGCGGCCCCATTGCCGCTCTCAGCAAAAATCCAGCCGATGCATTACGTCAAACGGACGTCCGGCCGAAGCGACGTCTGACACTTACAAACGACCCACGTCAAAATTGTGTTTTGCCCGCAATTAACCGACCTTCGATCATTTGCAAAACTCCTAGAATGTGTTAAAAAAATTTAAGCATAAATACTATTATAACATTTTAAAAAGCTCTATTTGTCATTGTACAAAATAGATATTTACATAAAAACAATTGAAAGACAAATGAGTTAATGTTATCCATTTTATCACTTAATTATTAATGTTTAAATAAAAACAAAATCATTTGAACTTAGTGATAACAATTTTATTATAATGTTTACCGGTTTCGGCTCATATTAAAGAGCCATCCTCAGAAGATTCACGACAATTAGAGAAATATTTGATAATATTTGTATATGTTAAGATATAAAGAAACTTTTTGTATAATAAATTATAACTATAAATATCACCAGAAAACACAAAATAAAATATATAACTCATAACAAAATTGACATTACACGTGTCTGACCAGTACACGTCAGAAAAAAAATCCATCGATTTTTTATACTACGATTTTGATTATTCAAAACAGTATTTTTTTCTTAACATATGCAGATATTATCAAATATTTTTCCAATTGACGTGAATCTTCTGAGGATGGCTCCTTAATATGAGCCGAAACCGGTAAAGATTATAATAAAATTATTATCACTAAGTTCAAATGATTTTATTTTTATTTAAACATTAAAAGTCAAATATTTAAACATTTTTAATCTTTCAACGTCATAGGGTATAAATGGTAAATTTTGGTTTATCAAATCAACCAATATTAAATTGTAAATACAGCAAAACCGAACTTCGGATATAATAGAGAATATTTTTAAGAGCGCTCATAGATAGAATCCAACTCGGGGTATTCCCCGACTTGTCTATACAATACAGGCACGGGAACCAAGTGGTTTTGGAATAGTTATAAAATTTTTAGATTTTGCTGTAGGCGAAATTTATTTGTAAAAAAATCTTTATAAGTACATAGCATTTCATTATTATTCACTTTCGGAAAATTAAATCGGGCATATAATGACTTTCATGATTTTCATTGTTGAAGACGTTGAAGAAAATTGGTCTCCAAACTTTCCAGCAAGTCTCTATTGATTTGGGTTATTTGCTGACGGATCGCCTATTTCAACTCAATCAATGTACAGACCTTGTCCTCGTAAACATGTTCTTTCAGGTATAGAAAAAAATCCCATATAGACAAGTCAGGGCTCTGAGGAGACCTTAACACGTCACCAAATGTCGAAATGAGATAATTATGAAACAGGGGTCGAAGAATAGGCATTGTTGCTCTGGCGGTGTGTGCCATGGCAGAATTCGATTTCTAAACGACTCCAACTTCTTCACATTACTGTGACTTTTCAGGAATTTCTGCTCCATATGTCAACTACGGCGTTATTATGGCTTCTAGTACCCTCACTTTTATTGTTGCTGGAAGCGGCGGCTATCCTGTTATCACGAAATATAGCTTATTTTAGGTTCTTTTCGGAATGCTTACCCTCTTGGCTGTTTACTTTCCGGCGTTCACTTTCCGGTTAAACGTTACTCTTAGGTAAGTAATTTCTTTCTTTATTTCTATCCTCTTCGGGATGTTAGGGAGCTTTTCTTCGAGCTCTTATTGTTAAAACCTAGTATTTCCGTTTTCTGCGTATTCAATATACTCTTCCATTGTTTGCAGTACCAGTCGCACTGCCGCGGAGGTTTCTTTCAGTTCCGCCACTAACCCCGTAACATCTGCAAATTGAAAGACTCCTGGATTTTGCCATCGCAGTCGAGACATCGTGTACAAATATATTACATAGCAGAGGGGAGAGTGGCGATCTTTGCGTTAACTTTCTTTGCTTCTTCTTATGCTGGACACTTTATAGCCTGCGTTAGCCTGAAAGTTCCAAATCTTGAGA